AGGGAGTACATGAGAGTGGGGAGGGTCAGAGGGAGAAGCAGACTCCCTGCCGAGCAGGGAGCCCGATGCGGGACTCGATCCCGGGACTCCAGGATCATGACCTGAGCCGAAGGCAGTCGCTTAACCAACTGAGCCACCCAGGCGCCCCTAGTTCCTCTTTTAAACTGCAGCTTTTTTCTGTGCCCCAGGGCAGATAAATCTGCTCCGGATCCCTCACTACTGTCTGTCCTCACTCCTGGTGGCAGAGTGGGAGGTGGGGTTCCCTCATTACCATGTCTCTGTCTCTCTCGCTCCTCTCTAAGTGGTTTCTCGAGCTTTTGTGCAGCAGCCCTTCAGTCAGCCCTGTTTTTTGTTTTGTTCTAAGTAGGTTCCACACCCAGCACGGAGCCCATAGCGGAGCCCAATGTGGGCCTTGAACTCACGACCCCGAGATCAGTACCTGAGCTGAGATCAAGAGTTGGGTGCCTAACCGATGGAGCCCCTCAGGTGCCCCAGCCCTCACTTTTTCATCCGGAGTAATTGCTCTGTAACTGGTGTAGGTTTGGTGTGTCCCACAGGAGGTGAATTCCGGGTTTTCCTGCCATCGCCATTTTAGACCCTCAGCTCAAGGAGCCAGTCTTTTTTTTTTTTTTTTTTTTAAGATTTTATTTATTGATTTGACAGAGAGAGACATAGCGAGAGAGGGAACACAAGCAGGGGGAGCGGGAGAAGCAGGGAGCCCGACGCGGGGCTCGATCCCAGGACCCCAGGATCATGACCTGAGCCGAAGCAGACGCTTAACGACTGAGCCACCCAGGCGCGCCTCAGGGAGCCAGTCTTCACACAAAGCTGCTCCCACGTTGCACAAGGGGCCCTCTGCTCTCAGATGGTGTGCACTCTCCAGGTGGTCTGAACATGCTCATCATACTGGCCCTGCTCCCGCCGTGCATGAAAGTATTTAGCCAAGCCATGGGAAAATATGCACAAAACCCCACTTTCTGTAACACACAGATGTTCACAGTGTATAGAAGTCCTGCATATACCAATAAAATTTATTTAAAAACAGGTCACTCTCTTCCTCGTTCCTCCCCGCCCTTCATAGTATTTTTTCCTGGAACCGTCCCTGGGGCTGTGCCGCGCTCCCTGCCAGCCTGCTTCATTTCTCTGTCAGGCAGTTCTTGTTCAGGGTGACCAAGCAATTTCTGACCACAGAACCTTTCCAAATAAATAGAGATCACAGAGAGGCAAGTCAATGCATTTTGTGACCCTAGATGGGGCACATAAAGGACAATAAGGGGACCACTAACAAACGTGGCATAAGGGCTCAGGATGAGATTACAATACTGTGTCAATGTTAGTTTCTTGATTTTCATCATTATCCGGTGATTTTATAGTCCAGTGTTGGCTTTTTGGGAAATCACACTGAAGTCTTTAGTGATAAAGAGGTACTGTGTCTGAGACTTCCTTGCAAATATTTCAGGCAGAAGTTCTGTGTGCGTGTGTCTTGCATGCATTTGGAGGGAGAGGGACTAGATGATATGGCATGGTCATAAATGGTCAACATTTGGGCAATCTTGAAAGGCAGAGAGGAACTCTGTACCATTTCCCCCACATTTTTGCAAGTCTTAAATGATTTTAAAATCTTGGGGCACCTGGGTGGCTCAGTTGGTTAAGCGTCTGCCTTCAGCTCAGGTCATGGAGTCCCAGGATCGAGTCCCGCATGGGGCTCCCTGCTCGGCAGGGAGTCTCCTTCTCCCTCTGACCCTCCCCCCTCTCTCTCATTCTCGCTCTCTCAAATAAATAAATAAATAAATAAATCTTTAAAAAAAATGATTTTAAAATCTTAAAAAGAATGATCTTGACAGGTGGGAGATCTAGCTGGGAAGAGAACTCTGAACTTGGAATACTTCTGGGCTCCTTGAATTCAGTTGGTTCCAAACCCAGTTCCCAATTGTTGGGTTTCTAAGGAGACTGTGGTCCCATCTTGCTTCAAGCCAGAGTCCCTCCATTGTCCCCTCACCTGGCTGAACAGTCACTGGATGTTGCTCTCCTGGATGAGCCTCCTTGGTTACCTGAAAGCTCGGGGTTGTCTTTCCCCAGCCTCCACCCCCCGGCTCCCCATGAAGAAGCCTGCATTCTTCTGGGATACCTCCCTGGGATCCACTTTCTCTCTCTCCTGGAAGAGTTGAATACTGGGTTTACCCATTTCAACATGTAGCAGGATAGCGTAGGTTATGCTGCAGGAACAAACTGCCCTCAGAGTTCAGCTTAACACAATGAAAGATGATTTCTCACTCATCGCAGGATGGTGTGTCGGGGGGTCTCTGCACATTGTACTTGCTCAGGAAGCTGGGCTGATTGAGACTCCATCTTGTCTCATGACAAGCACTGCAGTAGATGAAAGGGAAGGTGGTAGATGACTCATTGGCTCATTCAAGTTTCTTTCTGAAAGAGACAAATGTTTCCACTGCTGTTTCGCTCCCCGTGAAGTACAACCCTACCCGGTGTTTGTGAGGAGGGGAGGTGGGAATGTTTGTAACATCCCAGTGACTCTCATGGGGAAGCCTCTCGGCAGGTGAGCTGAATGTAATCGTTGTATTTAGGGGGTGCCAGGCTGGCTCAGTCAGTGGAGCCGCCAACTCTTGGTCTCAGGGTCATGAGTTCGAGCCCCACTCTGGGTGTAGAGTACTTTAAAAAAGTTAAGTTTTAAAAAAAGTCATAGAAGAGCAGCATGAGAGGCCGGCAGCCCAGAAGCAAGGATTCTGCCTGCCACCAGGGGCAGAAAGACAGGTTGGTCGGGAGTCCCAGAGCATTTCTCTCCTGGAGAGACTTTCCTGTCCTCGAGCTGCCCCGGGCTCTCGCTGTGACCGACTCATGCTGCCGTCATCCTGCCCTCACGTTCTCCGGCTGTTATTTTCTGGGGATGGTCTGTGTGTTAGAATGACAGATGTGCGTATGTGCGGCATGTTTGCGGGCTGCCTGCGCCACCGGGCACTGCACTAGGGTCTGGGATCTCGGGAGCGAAGACAGGGAAGAAAACAGATCCTTTCAGTGCGGAGGGCAGAGCCAAGCCCAGCGTGGGGAGAGACCATCTGATCGTATCGGGAGGAAGAGGGCGGCGGGAGGCAGGGAGGGAAGCAGAAGGAAGACAGTCCCGCAGGTCCGTGCACACATTGTCCGGGTTTTCTGGGCTGTGCTCTCTGGCTTACAGTAGGGCTGGTGATGCAGAATGTGCTCGTGGGCAGGATTCGAAGTCATGGCTGAAAGGCCAACAGTGTGTCCTCTTTTTGCCAACAGATATTAGGCATCTGCCACAATAATGCTAATTTTGCTTTCGTTTAGGTGAAACTTTATAATTGATAAATCAGACACCTTGAAAATCACTGGCTCCTTTCAAATGAGGATGCGGAGATAGGGAACTGTTGGGGTTGGGGTCCTTCAAAGTCCCAAATGCACCAGAACTCAGGGTCCTTATTCCTCGTCCAGGGCACTTCCCACTAATCCATGCTGCCTAGACCTGTTTGAGGTTCCGCAACTGGGATCCTCTCCCTGCCGAGGATCCCACAGTCCAGGGGGAAGAGCTGATAGCCACTCTGGATGGATAGGGGCTCACACGGCCCTCGGTTTTGCCCCGAGTCCGGTAAATCTCTAAGATCTCCCTTTTCTCCAGCTTCCTGTTGGATTGTTAATGAGGATGAATAATACAAGATATGAGCAACTTTTCAGGGAGGACCATATACACACAAGCAGCTCACAGCCGCCACACAATGCTTTGCTGACTCACAGGGGCCAGTGAATAGCCAGCCCTAAGGGTGGCAGGATGGGGGAGCTAAGGAGAGGTCGGATTCCTGTCTGTCTCTCAGCAGGATTCCATTGTCTGTGCAACTTGCAGCCAAGGGACGGGATGTTGGATCTCCGTGGCCGACACACGGACATGTTGAGGATGTAAGCCAACCATATCATTTTCATTTGCTAAGGTTTGGCAAGATTTCTGGCCCCGTGTTAGCCTTACATTGATTAAATGAGATAATGTGTGTATACCTCTTGGCACACAGGAAGTGGGCAATAAATGGTAACTGATAGAATAGTAATAATTACAGCAATGATCTTTTTTTTTTTTTAAAGATTTTATTTATTTGACAGAGAGAGACACAGCGAGTGAGGGAACACAAGCAGGGGGAGTGAGAAAGGGGGAAGCAGGCTTCCCTCTGAGCAGGGAGCCCGATGCGGGGCCCGATCCCAGGACCCTGGGATCATGACCTGAGCCGAAGGCAGACGCCTAATGACTGAGCCACCCAGGCGCCCCAGCAATGATCTTAAGTACTGTAATAATGGGGCCACAGTATCAGAGCAATAGTTATTGAATGAGAGCAATGATAAATATAGCAGTAATTGGCACGGGGCGGGGCTCGCAATGGGAGATAAAACTCCAAATGGGAAGGAGTTTTATCAGTGATGTCTGATGATAAATAAGCCTACTAAGTTATATTAAAAAACTGATCTAAGAAATAAAGTCTACTAAGTTATATTAGAAAAAAGAAAAAGAAAAAGCAAGCCAGCGGACACAGCTAGCTGGTGATTTAGTGTTTGTGTGTTCTCTGAAGCCCAGGCCCTCCCCTACTGCAGCTTCCAGGCGGACCTGCTTCCTCCACCCCACCCCCGGGGATGCCAGGACAATAAAAACGGTTCTTTTCAAATTGCTTGGCCTGCCATGCAGATGTTCAAAGGACAGTGATGATCAATGGCTCTTGGGTTTCTCTGTTCACCACTGGGTGCCGAATGCCAGTGGCACTGGCCCCTGGGGGCTGACGGGACCGAAAGCCGCAGGTCACCGTCTCTCTGTGGCTCTCCCTGAGTGAAGCGGCCACATCGTCGGCACTGCTGGTGGCTGCCGCTGCGTGGCTGGCGTGTGAGTGGAGATCGCCCCTCACCCACGGCCTGGGGGAGGTCTTGTCCCCAAGTCACCAACGGGCTGGCTTCCTTTCCTTCGCCCAGTGACAGGTTCTCTTTCCTTTGTGCAGGAAAATGCCCAGCTAATCAAAGAAGTGGAAGTGGACAAGGTCTGCGCCCTGTCCAGGGACCAGGTGGAGGCCATCAGGCAGCTCTGGCAGGACCCAGGAATCCAGGAGTGTTACGACAGGAGAAGGGAGTACCAGCTGTCGGACTCGGCCAAATAGTGAGTGCTGAGCCCAGGCACACGTTGTCCACGCTTCAGAGAAGCTTCTCACTGGGGAGAAAGTAGCTGCCTGTAAACACTACCTCTTTCCTGCTTGTCACTATCCCCCCCGTGACTCCTTGATGTATCTCTTACCGCTTCCTAAAAACTGTGGACCCCCAAATCTCTGTCCTTGCCCATACCCACCTTTCCTCGCTGTGTTCTAAGCCTCTCTTGTTCAACAAGAAGCTCAATCAAATGCAGGGTTCCTTGGAGGGAACTTATCTCATCTGGGGTGCTGAAATCTTCTGACTTGAATAAGGACTGCCACTGCCTCTGGCTTCTCCTTTCCTCTTCTCCATATCCCTCTGCCTTCTGGTTTCCTGATCAGCAGATGGCAGGATCAATTGCCCTCAAATCTAAAATCGGAGTTTCGACCGGCACTGCAATAGACCCGCTCCAGTGGCTGATCTCGTGCTGCCCTCTGGTGGGCAAGACAGGTTCTGCAGGCCCAGCACAGGGAGGAAGCTCAGTCCACAAGCCCTTTGCTTATTGACTCCCTGGGAAGGCCTCCGCGCTTTAGTTTTGATTCATAAAGTTCTAGTTTTAAATCATTAATTCCTAAGGTAAGATGAAATAGATGGTGCTGCATGCAAATTATCCCATGGTGATCACAGAATTCCATGTCTTCAGATTTCCGGAGGCAGTGTCTCCATCAGCTAGGTCACTGGACGCACAAATTGGTCATGTTCCTGCTTGAAGAGGCGGTTTTTCCTGCTCCTGCAGCTCAGCTCTTCCCCGTTGCTCCGTGTCCTCCCCCAGCCTCTGAGAGCCCCAGCATCCCATCCCCTTCCCTTGGGGTGTTGCTGTTGCCCTCCAAGCAGGTGTGGGTAGGTGGTTCACCCCGATCGTCTGGACAAGGCAGTGGGCAGGAGAGGAAGCCTGAAATCTCACCTCCTGTTTCAATGGCCCCCCTTTGGCGCTAGTGCCAGGCTGCGTGTTTCAGGCTGTTGCCCGAGGTTGGCACAACCAAGCTGAGCGCAGGGACGTTTAAATGCAGTAGGGCAGCCAAGTAAGAAACGGAAATAAAAGAAGCCCAGAGAGGGTTTGGGGCAGCTCAGAAAAGAGCCCGAAGGAAGGAAGGCAGTGTCCCAGGGAGGAGGGCAGACGGCAGTGGACAGCTGGGGACCCAGCGACAACTCGAAGGCCGTGAGGCCATCTCTGGGGGCTCGTGCACCGAGAGGCACGTAGGGAACGGCTAGGGGGACCGCGCTGCCCCCGAGACAGTGGCGCTGCGGCACCAGCAGCTGCCCCACCTCCGGAGCTGCTGAGCTGACTCGGACCAGACGCACAGGTGTCGTCTGCTGTGCCAGGACTGTCCGCTTACTGGGACATTCATTTCACCAGAACTCAATGTGCTGCTGTGGGCCAACCTGTGCTCTCTGTCCTCCAGCGACAGACCGTCCGACGGAGGGCTGCACGAGGAATACGGTCCACCTGCCTCCCTGGGCTCCGGCTCCTGCCGCCTGCTGGGCACTGCAGTCCCCGGCGGGGTCCACTGCGCAGGGAGGGGGCGGGGCCACGCCGAAGCACCCCCTCCATCGTTGGCTGGGGCCTGCGTTACAGGTCTTTTACTCAAAAATGCCTTGTATAAAGGCCTTAAAGTTAAAAAACAAAAACAAAAAAAACAAAACAGAAAAAGTGATTTGTTTCCAGCTTAGGAGTTTACTATGCAGCCAGAAATGATCCGGGACAAGCGTTGGCTGATTTTAGATGTTTAATGTCCCAATGAACAGTAAACTTTTTCTTAAAGATTTTATTTATTTATTTGATAGAGAGAGCGAGAGAGTACAAGCAGGGGGAACAGTAGAGGGAGAGGGAGAAGCAGGCTCCCTGCCAAGCAGGGAGCCGGATGTGGGGCTCGATCCCAGAACCCTGGGATCATGACCTGAGCCGAAGGCAGACGCTTAACCATCTGAGCCACCCAGGCACCCCAAACTTTTTCTTATTTTGAAAGAGCTTTGAGTTGGCCTGTTCTATACCTTTATATTCTCATAGAAACTCGAATTCATTGAGCAAAGCCTTCGAGAGCAGCATCTGCGTTCTGTAATGTTCGTGGGTGGGGGTGAGTGTGTGTGTGTGTGTTGGGGGGGGGAGGCTTTGAGGGAGGAAGGCTGCTGAGAGGTCACAGACCGGATCCCATCCTTTCCTTCTGATCCGTTGGCTCCCTCACTGGCCAGGGAGAGGGAAAGCTTAGAGCCGGGAGGAAGAAATGGCATTATTCCCAGATTTCCCAGAGGGCTCATGGAAGCTTCTGATCCATATTCTCTCCCAAACACTCATAGTTGGGGGGCAGGGGGGAAACCCGGTCCAGCGCCAGCTCTCAAGAAGGTCACTGATGGAATCCACGAACCTGAGTGGGGGCGCTGTGAGTTGGGGTGACTTCCCTGGAGTGGGATAGACGTTTCTCCGGTGTCTAAAACGAGTCTTGGTGCCTTGCTGTCTGATACCGCAGTTACCTGACTGACATTGACCGGATCGCCATGCCGTCGTTCGTGCCAACACAGCAAGACGTGCTTCGCGTCCGAGTGCCCACAACCGGCATCATTGAGTATCCGTTTGACTTGGAAAACATCATCTTTCGGTAAGACTGTCTCCCTGACATGGTCCGTCGGAATTTGTGTGGCCTTGGAAGTCCTGGGAGGGATTCTTAAGTGTGTTATTCCTCAAAGGGTTCTATCTCCCAGAGCCATATGGGCCTCTCCATCACTGAGTGTTTAACATTATGGGAGGTCTCAAGTCCTGGAATGGAGAGGAACTCACCTTCCTATTCCCCTTAGAACACAGTCTCCTTACTGAAGTCTGGAATAACCCTTAGGTGTAAAAGACACACACACACACACACACACACACAGAAAATACCGATGCCTTTTCCCTAAACTTGAATATTATTCTTCCCTATTTATAGTCCCTTCTGTAGCATCTATCCATAAAAATAAAAAAAACTAACAATCAGTACAAAAGTGTATTAATTACATAAGATAATATAAACTATATACAGTTGTGTAAAAAAAGTATGAATTTCCACATACAAATTTAAGAAGTACTTTTAGGATGACTTAAGTAGATCCTCATTGCATTTAATTATGGCAGAAAGAGGAGGATATGGTACTTATGCCCAGCACTGCAAGTTATCCATTAGTTCCCTTGTTCCTCATCAGAGTTACTGCATTATGCTTTTCTAGTCGAGATGACACAGGTCCGGTCCTGCCACAACCAGGGCCTGTCTGTAAACCCGATTCCATCTCTGGGCCTCCGGAGCATTGTGGCACTGGGGAGCCCTCTGGTCGAGCCCCTTGAAAATCTGCATCCAGGTGCCCATGAATGTATGACCGTGACCTGTTCAGAATCAGTGCTGCTTGCTATGTCCGAACCCTGAATCGGGTCCGCAGATGTGTTTGGCCCACTTGGTGTTTTCTAAGCCCCTTTTGAGCCAGTATTCAAGAATTGGTCCATTTTGCTTACAACATTTGATACCTAGTTTCTTTTGAAAGGTTGAGGGGCTGGTCGTGGCATGCCTACACGTCTGTCCAGCAGGCCTTGGCTACAGCCGCCCTGCAGTCCACTCTCTGGACGGGGCCCCTGGTGTTCTTGAAGTTGCCTGCCGTTCTACTTTGGAGAGGCCCACTTGACTCATTTCCATAAACTGCCTGCCTCCTGCAGTGTTGGAGCTTACGAGCCATCTTTGGGCTAGGACTCTCTTGAGTCTTTTCCCAAAGCCCCAGATAGAGCCTTTGGATTGCCAGAGACGATGGAGGCCACTTGCAGGTCTTTATAGGCCAGAAGGGGCAGCGCCCACGTAATGCGGAAAGGACTCGTGGCTAAGTCTGAGGAGTGGTGAAAAAGAGGCAGGGGGAGGGCCTGGAGGCAGCTGGTAGGCCTGGGAGACTGCCCGCCTTTCTGCCCCTCGCGTGTCTGGTGTCTGGCACTTGACAGTGGTTAGAGCGTCACCTACGTGGATGCTTGTGCTTTCTGCCTGGACTAAGGCAGCAGCTTCCAAACCAGTGTCCCCGAGCATGCTGCTCCCCTGGAGTCACCCCTGCACCCGTCTTCAGTAACTTTTTTTTTTATTAATTTATTTTTAATTTATTTATTTGACCGAGGGATAGCACAAGTAGGCAGAGCAGCAGGCAGAGGGAAAGGGAGAAGCAGGCTCTCTGCTGAGCAGGGAGCCCGATGCGGGGCTCGATCCCAGGACCCCGGGATCATGACCCGAGCCGAAGGCAGCCGCTTAACTGACTGAGCCACCCAGGCGCCCCCCGTCTTCAGTAACTTTACTTACAGTATGTGCCTCCTTTGCTAACACCCAGGGTTCCTCTCTGCCGAAAGCAGCGGTGCTCAAACATGGGCATCTTAAGACCCCTTTTCACCTCTAAAAAATTACTGAGGACCCTCAGGAGTGCGCATTCCCAAAATATAATGATTCCTGTCCTCCTCCTCCAAAGAGCCATGTATTCCAACCTTTCAATGTTCTGTGTTTCTGTCGAACAGGATGGTAGATGTTGGTGGCCAGCGATCTGAAAGACGGAAATGGATTCACTGCTTTGAGAGTGTCACCTCCATTATTTTTTTGGTTGCTCTTAGTGAATATGACCAGGTCCTGGCTGAGTGTGACAATGAGGTATGCTGGGTGGGGAGGGGTAGCTGTGGAGAACAGAGACCCATGGCTGCAGTTTGCAAGAAGCTAGCCTGCCCCGGTGTTAGACTGTATTCTTTAGGTTAAGCGGTCTTGCTATTCAAAGTGCAGTGTCTGGAATTAGCAGAACCAGCATCATCTGCGTGCTTGTTAGAAATGCATGCCTAGTCAATCGACCTACACGGAATAAATCCGAACTTGTATTTTAACAAGACTCCAGGTAATTCAAATACACATGAAAGTTTGACAATCACTGGTCTGGAAACCTGGTTCTCAGAGTTGGATGCACGCTGGAATTCCCTGGGGATCTTAAGGAGACACCTGGCATTGGGTCCAACTCCAGATTCTGATTTAGTTGGGGGTGGGGGTGGGCTGAGCCTGGGATCGAATCTCAGGTGGTGCCAAGGGTGAGGCCAGCCAAAAGCATTGGTTCTCAGTCTTGGCTGCATATTGGAATCCCCTGGGGAGTTTCTAAAAAAGACCATCTTTTGGACCTCACAGTAGAAACTCGTATTTCTTAGGTTTGAGTCGGGGGTATTTTTTCCAAGCCCCTCAGAGGTGCTCAGGCACAGCCAAAGTTGAGCAATGCTCTTTCTCATAAATATCTGGGAACAGGCTTCCTAATCTCTCTCCATGGTGCTCCCAAATTACGTCCCTGAGTTGACATGAGGAGTGGTGTCAGCTGCTTAGAGATGTTCTGACCCACCCTGGTCAGGCATTCCACGTCCTCTGCAGGGTTGCTGTAGGGCTAGCTGCGTGGAACTGCATTAACCACATCTGCCCAGAGAGTGACGATAGCTGTCACTTCTCTGTGAGGTGGGGCTATGTTCTGTGGGATACCACTGTCCTCCCCTTGTCTTTTGCCCAGCCTTGCACGAGACATCCTGACCTCATAGAAAAGTGTCTCTTCCTTCTAGGTCATGGTAGTAAACCAGTAAAGAACTCTGCCCAGGATTAGACAGTAACTGTGAGCAAATTATATCTTGTATTTCTTGAGAGCAGGCTTTTCTCTGAGGAGCAGAGTTACATTAGCTAATTAGTAGGAGGATTAACCCATTTACTGGTGTCATTGCAAAGAAGAATAGCAATCTCGGCTGCCACCCAGCTCGTCCAGGAGGGACTTTTTTTTTTTTTTTTTTAAAGCAAAGGCTTCAAGTTATCAATATGAAAAATGAGGTCCAAATTTGTGTCAGGATTTCTTGTTTCTTGGGAAGCTCAAAAGATGATTCAGGGGCACAAAGGACCAGTGCCTCAACCCAGTATGCTTACAAATTAGACATTTTCTCCTCTCCTAAAAATCACAAGGTATTTGGAGAGGAATTCCACTCCAGACTTGTCCTCCTGGGTGTACATACATGTTGTGTCCACTCACTGGACTTATAGGAATTGTTTCTTCGTATATAGTTGACCCTTGAACAACACAGGTTTGAACTGCATGGGTCCACTTACACGTGAGCTTTGTTTCTGATAAATACGGTACAGTACGGGTATTTTCCTTGTAACCTTTTTTTTCTCTAGCTTTAGTGTAAGAATATGGTATATAACATCCATAACATACAAAATATGTGTTATTGGTGAGACTCTGGTCAACAGTAGGGTATTAGTAGTTAAGTTTTTGGGGAGTCAAGTTATATGCACATTTTCGACTATGCCAGGCGATCAGCCCCCCTAACTCCTGTGGTGTTCAAGGGTCAACTTCCTTGCAGATTATTGATAAGACCATCATAAATTTTTTTAAAGCTTTAAAAACTGAGGGGTTACCTGTCCGGTAATAATTTCCAGATCTTGATTGCCAAAAATGTACTGAATAGGAGAATGGGCCCAGGTATGCAGGAGTGGTAGGGAAACATGTCCCTCTGAGCAGGTGTGCAAAGCTTTGTTTTTGTCTGACCACTGCCCTCTATAAAGACCATTGTTTCTTAACTCTTAGAAATCCTTGAGAGCAGGGGGAGTGTGGCCAGCTCAGTCCATGGGGCATGTGACTCTTGATCTCAGAGTCATGAGTTCAAGCCCCACGCTGGGCTCTGTAGAGCTTACTTTAAAAATACCTTATTAAAAAGGTGCCATCTAGGGCGCCTGGGTGGCTTAGTCGTTAAGCATCTGCCTTCGGCTCAGGTCATGATCCCAGGGTCCTGGGATCGAGTCCCACATCGGGCTCCCTGCTCGGTAGGAAGCCCGCTTCTCCCTCTCCCACTCCCCCTGCTTGTGTTCCTGCTCTTGCTGTCAAATAATCTTAAAAAAAAAAAAGGTGCCATCCAGCACAATTTTTGTCGCCAGATAAGATTTGTATGTGCCCTGTCTACTTTCCCTAAATTAGGAACATTTGATATATTCTTGCCAGTGACTAATGTTAAGAAATTTTTACTCTTTTTCTACATAATTTTGACCCGATCCTATTATTACATGGGCTTGGGACCTAATTTAAAGTTGCAAACACTAGTATGTTTATCCATAAAATGGGGACCGTTCCCCTAGCAGACCTCGCCCATATTACCCACCTGTAATGCGTGGCGCATGGAAGGCGCTCAGCAGCGTCCGTCCCCTGCTCTCCAATGCCCAGCCTTCCTCTGGACAGTGGCTGTGCTGGAGGACCCTTCCTCCCGAGGTCTGGAAGCCCACCCCCAATTAGAGTGAGTGTCTCGGGCCTAATGCACTTTCCCTACTTGGTAACCCCCGTAATTAAAACCGAAAACTCTGTCGAATATAGGTATGAACCTTTTTCCAAGTTTCACAAAAGCCTTTCTTATGTGTTATGGGTTTATTTGGGGGGCTGCAGGAGAAGAGAGCCAGAAGGGAAGGGGGGAAATAGAAGCAGGAGGCCTGGTGTCCTGGGGGGGCCCCTGTGCTCTGGAGCTGGCAGCTGGGTGAGGGGACACATGGGTGGAACCAGCGATTTGGCCTGTTGCTTCCAAAGTATTGTTTTTCTTTATTAACCCTAAGTCCCTTGTTTCGCACTTAGAACCGCATGGAGGAGAGCAAAGCCTTATTTAAAACCATTATAACCTACCCCTGGTTTCTGAACTCGTCTGTGATTTTGTTCTTAAATAAGAAGGATCTTTTGGAGGAGAAAATCATGTACTCTCATCTAATTAGCTACTTTCCAGAATACACAGGTAAGTGTCCCTCTTGCCGACCTCCCTGGCAATGGGCCGGCGTTATGCCGACCTCCCTGGCAATGGGCCAGCGTTACTGACATGGCCCCAGAGGGTCATGGTCCCTGGTCCCTGATCTGGGCCCCATGGTCCCTGATCTGGGCCCCAGGCCCCATGGTCCCTGATCTGCCTCGAATAGACTTTCTCAGGGAAGCTCCAGGTGCATGACTCTGTTGTTGCCTCAGCACCTCCATACATGCCACCCCCTGTGGAAACTCCTCCTCATCCTCCAAGACCCAGCTCAGGCACGTCGTCCTTGGGGAAGTCCTGCTCACACTCCCTCCACTCATCTGCACTCGGGTGTGCCTCCTGTGTGCTCCCTTGGCCTTGCCTAGCTGTGTCTCCCCGGTCCCCGTCAGAGTACCTGCTCCTTCTCTGTGTAGCTTAGTGTGACAGACCCCTTTCCAGGCACACGGTAGACACTGAAGTTTGTAGATAGAGGACCGATCCCAGGCTGGAAAGTTTATGTTCTGATGCTAATTATTTCTGGTACGGGAAGTCTCAAATATCAGCAAGTTCGATACTGACATTTAGAGTGCTGTTTTAGCACCCCCTTTCCTTTTATTAACTGCATCAGCCATGTGGTGAGAGCCCAAACCAGAACATTAAATTGGGTCCGTTTTTCAACAAAGTGCTTTAAAGTACACTTTTTAGATAGCAGTGGACATTTTAAAAGTCTCGTTTACAGGTTCATGATGAGCTATAATAAAAGTTCACACCCTAGGTAAGCTCTTCTCTAGGAATAAGAACTCAATGAAGGATCCCAAGTAAGAACAGGAGTATACGGAAACTGATTGTGGGGAGGACCCGGGGGTTAGTAGCTCTCTTCTTTATTCCTGTAACTGCACTCTTGACTAGGACCGAAGCAGGATGTAAAAGCCGCCAGAGACTTTATCCTGAAGCTGTATCAAGATCAGAATCCTGACAAAGAGAAAGTCATCTATTCTCACTTCACATGTGCTACAGACACGGAGAACATCCGCTTTGTGTTCGCTGCTGTGAAGGACACGATTCTCCAACTCAACCTGAGGGAATTCAACCTGGTTTAGAAGCTGCTGCCCACTCCTCACCCCTCCCAGAAGACAGGATTTGCAAGCTCCGCCCGTTTTATTTGCTAGTGCTCGTGACGTCACCCACCAGGCTGGTGGCACCAAGCCGGCCATGCGGGCCCCAGGGACAGGTGATGGACTTTGTGAGATATTCAAAAAGTCTTTATATTTCTTTTCTTGACTTTTGGCTTGGAGATTTTTTATAGAATTTTTAAAAGCCACTGTGATTTACTGTGTTGTTAAAGTGTGTTTAATAATAGTCCTTAACACATCCTGTATCAGAGGGGTCTGTTAATTTATAGATCATGCCTTGAGACCTCTAGGATTAACTTGGGTGGTATTTTTGTTTTTTTAAAGAAAGTTAATGGGTTTGAAGCTTTTTATTAAATCTTGTAATTTAGAGATTTAAAATTTTCTCTCTTCATGCTGAAGTATGCATTTAACATGCCATCAAACATTTTTTTTTTGTTAAATATTTCTTAAGCCAAATTAATGACTATATCAATGTATCTTAGTTTTGCCATAATTTGATCACCATGCAGCCAAAGTTGACATAAATGGGCTCTAGACAGCATATTATGTTGTACTGGTGGAAGAAAGTGTGTGTTATGTATCTATGACCAAGTCTTGTAAACTTATGAAATGGTTAAAGTCTAAATTGTTTAACAAATGTAATGTAACCCCTGCCAAAGTTCTGATGGCCACCACAGATTGGCTGTTTGAAACATGTATGCTGTGCCTTTCTGAGGAGGCTACGAATATACCATTCGGCCATCAGCCTGGGATTATGTTGTGTTTCTTTGTGCTCATGGTTGATATAAACTAGGAAAGTCACAGCATTTTTCTAACTCAAACTTTATAAATGTCCTTGGAGGGGAGGAAAAATAAATTTCCTCTTACCTTCTTGGTTCCTGGCTGAGATCCCCAAACAAAACAGATTAACAGGGGGGGAAAAAAACAAAAACGCCACCACACTAGTTTAATAATATGTATGCCTCTGTATACAGGGGAGAGACCCAGAGAAATGAGTAACTTCCCTATAGGCCAGGCCCTCCCCTTGAGTACCTTCTTCAGCTCAAGATGTTGGGGGAGGAGGAATCACCTATGAGAGGTGAGTAAGGGTGTTGTTAGGATATCAGTACTTTTGAACACCTGACTAGAATTAAGAAACAATACTTGATTACCTATTTTAACCAAAGTGACAAAAGATTTTAAAGGCAAATACAGAAGGTTCCATAGTTGTCAGTGAAACTTGGCTCTTAATATTGAGAAGACTTGTGGTTTTCTTAAGTGATCAAAGACCTGATGATAAAGATAACAGGAAATTTCAGTAAAACACAAAATCTTTTGCTTTCTGGTCAGCTTACTTATCAGGAGCAGACCGACCAAAAGTCTGAGAGAACTCTGTCCTTTTGTTACCAGCTAGACCCCATAGGCCTGACCTTTACTGCCCCCTTGCGTGTACTCACCGGCCTTTGTCCTCCGTTTTCCCTTAGGCTTTTCTTTCCAGTTTGTCTCTTAACTCAGGCAGACGGAAACCGAAACCATCCCTCGGGCAATAGCACAGCAACAGCCCTGATGAGACCTCCAGCAGGCCGGATCACCCAGACCAGTTTGGGCTTAACCCCTGGCTTGCACCTGCACGGATGGACCATGCAGTGACCTCTAGAGTGACCAACAACTACCTTTACCTCATTGTAATACTAAAATCACCGCCTAACAAGGAGCACAAGCCTCATTTACATAACATACAACGTAGCATAGGCATCTCTCCTTAAGGTGCAGGCAGGATCTCAGGCCTGCCTCCACATATGATGGCAAGAGAGCCCTTTTAGAGAAATTTTTTTTTTTTTGAGAGCGAGAGCAAGTGAGCACGTGTCCACGAGCTGGGGAACTGAGGCAGGCTCCATGCCCAGCGCAGAGCCTGATGTGGGGCTCAATCTCACGACCCTGAGATCATGACCTGAGCCGATCAAGAGTCTGATACTTAACCGACTGAGCTACTCCGGTGCCCCCAAGAGATCCCCTTTTTAAAATATTCATCCTAACCCTAAATAAAAGGAGCTCATCCACCCTTGCTCAGGGAGTCACAGTTTTGGAGGTTATTCCCCGTGAACTCCTTTCTTGCTGCAAATAATTTTTACTCTGCGACAACCCAACCTGCGCTAGTGTTTCTCTGTGACTGACCAAGGAGCAAACTCAAGCTGGTTCAGTTACACCTTCAGCAGATTGAAGAAAACTAAGTTCTAGTTTTACGTGCGTATACTACTGATAGTAAAGTTTATCTTTACACATTTATGAATTCATTCCATTTTAGCTAGCTTATTTATACAAGGTTTTCTCTTTCCAACTTTCTATATCCAATTATTTTTCCCTTACTCTCCTCTTTCCCCTTCTGAAACCACTCGTTCTACTCCAGGACACAACTTCTCTTTCCTGTAACAAAAATGCATCTTTGTACCTCATACGTTTTCTTAAACCAAACCACATCTTACTTTGTTTGCATACAAAGAGGTTTTCCTTACTATTTCTAGTAGTTTGAATTACGTATGTTAACTGGTATTCCCAACCCTCTGAAACCTTAATTTCTAGAACTAAGCCATTATCAACTGTAGTTTGGCAAATTTATGAATACATTTCCTAATTTCTAGAAGCACATGCTGCTTCACAGTACAATTTTTCAATGTGGTACAAGATGTTTACTAACAGACCCAAATATGTTTAGTCTCTCCATATTAAGCCAAAAGTAGATAAACCTACATTCAGTAATGTTCCAGTATTTTGTCATATTTGGAAATTTAGACATTCCAATGAATTCCCATCATTTAACTTAGGAAAATTTCATTTATAAACTTTAATCCCACTTAAATCTACTTAATTCACTTGTTCTTAATCATATTGAGATTACTTCTAAAAATTTCATGAGACATTAAGGCCATCATCCTGTTATTTTTCTTGCTGACAAGTTTTGTGACAGAGATAACATGCACTCATTTGACTAATAAACCAGGTACAATAAAAGTTGTACGTCTGCATTACATCCAAAGCTGACAACCCTGAAGACATACCTATTTCAATTAAACCAAATTAAATTAGCTTATATTTACTAAGTATTTTCCCAGATTACATGAACTTGGAAAACATTTGAGTTAGTTTCTATATTTCTGAGTCTAGAAGTGCTTAATTCATGTAAGAAGTTATTTCTGAGCCAATTAAGTAGAGCTGGTTTACAAATTTTGGCAATACCATCTGGAGGTAGAAAAATAGCGTATCTACAACATACATAGACACACACAAACAGATACAAACAGAGACCTTATACCTATCACTAACATTTTTAACTGTGAATCAGGTATAATAACACAACTCAGTAGTTTGTAAAAGAACAGCTGTATCCAAATTGGGTTTCTGGCAGATGGAATGAGTTCATTTACTTATGGCTAACTCAGATGGCTAGGGTTTTTTACCGAGATTTGTGTGGAAGATTTTTTTTTTTTTTTAAATTGTGCCCAATTTCCAAATAGCTCCTTTTTCTCTTCTCATGAGAATCATTGCCTAAAGTCTTCATTTCAAAGAGATGGAGGTAGAAAATGTGTATCAAAGGCACAAGGAAAGTATCCAAGTTGTTTCCAAGGGGTTTGGGGCATATTTGCCTATTATCAGAAGTCTAGAGTAATTAGTATTAAAATTTTTCCTTTTCTTAGATGCAGGACAATTCTATTTCCAATATCCCAATCTTACACAGTATCTGCAAGCATTTTGAGATGAAGAGGGGAGGCTTTGGGACTGGTAAGGATGGATGGACTTTGTATTGCTTCTAGAAATGCATTTCTGGTTTTGTAAAGATTTTTAAGACAAAAGATAGTATTTCTAATTCCTCGAAGTAGGGGAGCCTGAATGATATTATGGGGCTGACATACTCATCCAACTACATTATCTTCAATTTGTTTCTTTATATCATTATTGGGTAAGATTTCCATTCCAACGAAGATGAAAATCAAAAGATTCCTATGTCCAAGAACTTCAGGGTTTAATGCAGTATGCCTTTGTAAAGAGTATATACAGCGTTCAACAAGAACCTTTGAATGTTCTCCTCTCTTGAGTGTATAATCCAACCTTGGATCAATTCACTTTAGGGGGAAAAGACTCTACTATTGCTTTTTATCAGTCACTGAACATCAGAACATCAGCCTTAGCCAATCCATTTCCTGATCATTTGCAGGAAGGCCTGGGAGAAATTCTGGTCACCCATTTCCTCTGGGAGGGGAGTCTGCCCAAGGGGCGGGCTGGCTTATCACTGCAGTATAAACATGGGTGGGAAGAAGACCCCTGAGCAGACAATCAAGGTCCCAGTGAATGGAGTTGTGAATGGCCGCTGATCTACAAATCTGGTAGAATCTTCTGAAAGTGGAGATAACAAGATGAAATTACAAAGCGCTTTTTAATAGAGTCCTTAAGGCTGGATGCTATATTCCTTCACGTCCTCTTCAATTTGATCATTCCACAGATACCAGTAAGACAACCATTTAGATTGAGAACTCTCTAAATTTTTTTTTTCAAATACGGTAAGTCTTTCCAATTCAAAGGATCCATCATCTGGCTATTGATGAGGAGAATCTTTTATTAATCTCCATAGGGACTCAAACCCGTAAGCCTTTTTTTATGGCTTACCGGTGGATAAAGAGGTGCCCCTTTTGGACAGACAAGGGGTATCCAACCCTTTGTTGGAAAAGATGCAGCCCTTAATACGATCCAGAAAGTTCACTCTGAGGGTTAGCATAAGAAAGCAAAGACCTTCCCTTGTCACAGGCAATTAAGAATGATGTAGTGAAAAGATGTCTCGTTTCCCATGAGACACTGCCAGTCCCAGACCTGCTACTCTGTGACCCCAAACACATGCTACTGGAATGGGACTTCCCTGGCACGGAAACAGTGAAGGCTGAGATGACAGGCCCCTTATGGACTGGGAACCCCTGAGATAAACTCCCCTGAGAGCTGGC